ATGTTCCTTATTAAGAAATTTTTAAAATTTTAAATTAATAACTATAAAAAAACTACTTACAATTGTTTTTTATTATTCAAATTATTAATTTATAATATTTTTTGACTTTTGTTTTTATTAAAGTAAAAAGCTATAAATTTTGTTTTTAAAAAAAATATATATATATATGATCTGTGAAATTTTATATATTAAATACTTTAGATATTTATTATTATCTATAGTATATATATTTAATTTAAGTTTTTAATTTTTAAAAATTTATTAATGTTAAAATATTTACAGATATCTTTCAATAAGAGAAAGTGAAATCTTTATCTATATGCATAATATATCTATCAAATTATAAGAATCTGAAAGATAATATTTGTAAGAAGAAAAAGTTATAGTAATAAATAGTTTTTTTTTTTTTAATTATACTATATATATATTTTCAGAGAATTTAATCTCAAGTATCCAAAAAAAAAATAGAAGAATATAATTTATCTTAATTAGATAGCAACAAATATAATGCAATTGATAAAGGAATTATAGTTTCTATCAATAATAAAAATATATTTAATTCACTTTTTAAGTTTACATGAGACCTATATAGCCTAAAAATATAATAAATTTGTCTATATTAATATCAATTTTTTGAACCATATGATTATAGTTACTTACTTAAAAGAAATATAACCTGTTAATAATAAAGAATTTGCTTATAATAAGAGAAATTTTAATGGAGACAACTTTTATATGGCTAAATAGAGAATTAAAGTTAAAATGATAGGTATTTTTTAAATATTACAAGTTATTAAAAATTGAGTTATTAACAAATTAAAATTGTTGCAATTTTTTACTAAAAAATATTTTTTATTACTAGTTAAAGAATAAATTGCATAGTATTATAGTATTGCTAATAGAAGGTATAATTTGTGAATTGTTCTAAAACTTGATCAAAAAAAGAATATCAACTATAAAAAAATTAAGAAAAGATAAAAAAGAAGAATATTATATAAATTATTGATAGATTAATATCAATAAAAAAAAAAAATAATAATATAAAAAATCAAATTATTTTAAAAGATACTAACTATAGTAAGAAATATATTAATATAAAAGTAAAAAACAATAAAAATATTTCATATCACTCTTTTCACTGATCCTCTAACCATACACAAAAAAAAACATTTGCAAGAAGTTTTTAATACCTCTTTGCTAATAAAGTCTAAACACTCTTCTTAATCCAATTTAAAAAAAATCCTCAAGAGTCACTCATACTCTCCCTTTCTTGTTTACAATCATCTTCAGGCAACTGAACTCTTGTGACCTATAAAGTTCAGCTCACACCTTTACTACCAATGACAAGAAAGTTTCTAAAGGGAGAAGAACCACTAGTATAGTACCTGTTACTACTCTTCTGAAGTGGAGGAACAAGACAAGATAGAGGTTTCACTCCAGTTAAAGGACTCATATCTTCCCCTTGACTTGGCTTTCTGGTTTCCAAGAGCTTTTACTTCATAGCTTTTTGGAGAATTTTGCCTATCCTAGCTTGATCTTGAATTTTAAGATAGTACAAATTCTGCCTATTTTGATTGGTTAACATGAAACATATTGGACAAGATTGATAAACAAGCTTCTATTGAGCATCTTATATATCTGAATGCATTTTCTCAACTCTATAAGAACCTGGGTTTACTGTGAGTCATATGTATTGATGCAGGTGGATACAGAATACAAATCACTACATCATTGGATACAAGAAAGAGTATATCTACCACAGACTAATTATCTAATCAGGACATAAAAAAGGACTAGCTCATTCACATTTACTGATAAAAACAGATCTCAGTTCAATGCAATGCTGAAAGCATAAGACAGATTATAGACAGGCAAGAATCGAGTGGTATTATATTCTTCATACAAGATCAAATCTCAACTAAATCAACAAGACAGGATAAAATTAATTTCTTTTAAATTTTTTTTTCTTTTTTTCAAGTACTAATGAGGTCTCCTCATATAAAGAACTCCTAACACCAATGGTGTTGAATATCTTAGGCAAGTTCTTGGCATGTTAGTTTCCCCTAACAAGAATAGCAACAGGTTATTTGGTGGATAAAACCCTAGGAAGTGGAAGTTCTAAAGATAGGTTTAACAGCTGGTTTCACTTCAATGGAGAAGATTTCCTATTTTCTATAGCTTAGTTGGAGTTTAGAGAAAAGTCCTACACTAAACAGTCAATAGCTATCCTATTCTGATTAAGTAAGATGTAAATAGATATCCCTTTGTACTATTCATTGATCTGTAAATCCTTAGGCAGTAAGAGTAATTAGTCATCTCAGTTGTTTCTAGGATATATCTTGATTTTAATAAAGTATACAAATTGACGCAGAAATGAGCTAGTATTTAAAAAAAAAAGTAAAAAACAAAAATTTTAAATATATATACAGTATATATACAATAAATTTAAAATTAAAAAATATTTTTGAAAGAAAACATATTAGTAAAAATTTTTTATTAAAATAAAGTTAAATTAATTTAAACATATTTAATTTAACTTAATTAAATCAAAATAATTATTTGTAAATATTATTTAAATCAGGTTCAAATTGAATTAAATTGAATTCAGATTAAATTAAATTAAATTTAAAACAAATTGTTTTGATTTTAAATTGAATCAGATTAGTTTAAAATAAATTAGATCTGTATCTAATTCATATTTATAAAAATTAGATTGAATCAAATTTAATTAAAATAAAATTGATTTGATTCATTATAATCATTATAGAAGGATATTAATCCAAATTATAAATAGAATAACAAATTACTTTCAAAGTTTTACTTGAAGTTTGAAAACAAACTAATATGAGCAAGTTAATTATCAATTTAGCTTTAATGGCATTGTAACTAATATTATATTTAATAAAGTATATATAATTAATCTAATAGAAAGTTATATAAAAAAAAAAAAAAAATTTAAGATAAAATTATTATATACAATATAATAAGATCTATCACATTTATTATATCTAATTATGATTAAAAAAATGATAAATAATAAAAAAAAAGTACAAGAAATATTACCTTTCAATTAAACTAAAGAAAAAATAAAAAATAAATATAAAAATAAAGATATATTATAAAAATTGTAAAAATCTTAAATGGTTAGGTTTTTAACTTGTTGAAAAAATATATAATGAAATTACAAAGGAAGTAAAACATTATTCTCTAGGTTGTACTAGAGAAATAGATAAATATTTTTTAAGTTCATATAAGAAAGTCTTCAAAATTATGAATAAAAAAAAACTTTTTCTGCTAATCCTCTAACCATATATAATAAAGATGTTCACAAAAAGTTTTTACACTTCCTTACTAATAAAGTCTTAATGCTTTCTTTAAAATAACTTGAAGTATGACTTCAAGAGTCACTTCTACCCTTCTCTTATTGTTTACAAATCTCTTCACTCAAAAACTTGACTTCTAGTAATCAAAAAGAATCAAGTAACACCTTTGTTACTAATGGTATGAAAGTTTCCAAAAGAAGAAGAACTGACTATGAAGTACCTGAAGGTCTTTTTAACCTTTGAAATAAGAAATTTATAAAGGTTTTCTACAGTAAAAAACTTATTTTTTTTCTTTTTGACTGTCTTGGCCCTCTTAAAGCTCCCATGTTTATGGTTTTTTGAAAAATTTTGTCTACCTCAATTTGACCCTGAATTTTGAGTAACACAAATTCTTATCAAAGGTGATTGGCTGGTATGAAACATATTAGTTTTTGAAATGTAAACAAGCTTCTATTGATTCACTCACATATCTCAATATATCATTGGTAATATAGAAAGAAAAGTTCTAGAAAAAGTGTCCCCTCCAATTATACAAGTTCAATCTTTAGGAAACAATTATAATATCGAGTGATGGGTAGAAAAAGAAAATCCAACTTCCATCTCTCACTAAGTTCCTCAGGGGGTGAAAGGATTTTCTTGAACAAAAGCCGAGATTTTCAAGCTTCTATCTCAGTTAGACAAAGTTCTTGAAAAGATTTTTTTATTCTGATTAAGCAAACTCTTCCGTAATATGGTATTGGTTTTAATAATATTAAGTAAATTCGAATATCGACAGAAGGATAAGTTTCTCAAACATTCTTTTTGAAATCACATTCAAGAATGGTTAAGTTCCTCAAATGTCATAAAGCTTAGATAATATCCCAATTAGGTAAACCCCTTTCGAGAGGAAACTATAAAATGGAACAAAAACCTTTTGAAGAACTTTGAATTGTTTTTTTTTCCTTTTCCCCTTTTTTTTTCCAATACCAACTTCAGCAATTCATCATTTTTTAGAATAATTAATAGTAATAAACTGTTGGCAATAATCCTGGTTGACTTAAAAGCTAATACCAAGCTACTAGGAAAGTGAAATATTATTTTCAGAATCTGACTTAGAATACCTAGTTTAGACTTAATTTTGTTTAGTCCAAACTAACTTAGTGAACTCCTCATATTTTTTAAGTAATGTAATCCTTTAACTAATAATGTACAATGACAAGTTAGTCACTTCGTAAAAGTCTGTAAACTTTGTGGTATTTTTCAATATCTCAATAAAGACATACCATTGTGGCATAATTGTGGATTAAAATAATAATAATAATAAAAAGAAAGTCTTCAAAATTATTGTAATGATTAATAAAAACATGCCATATTAACTAAAATAAATAAAATAATAATACAATACAATAAATCATGGATATTTTATTTTTAATAAATGTATTTCCATTTAGAAAATTAAAAGAAAGTATTTGCCCCTGGTAGCGAGACACTTGCCCATTCAAATATGTTTCAGTGTTATCTATATGAATCTTGTTTCGCACACGTTTCGACTAATTATCCCATTTATGGTTACTATCATTTGAAACAAATAGTCGTACTATGCGTGATGATCAAATCGTGGGAAAACTTTAGATATCGGTTTGCCGATAAATATCCGATTCAGACGACCAAGTTGTGCTCTCTTTATTGATCGGAATCATGACTGAAGACAATAGTTCGCTACTTACGGGCACCGTTACAATTGTTGGTACGTTTGTCAGGTGTTGGGTCGATTATTTTTTCAAGACAGGAAAAGCACAAAACCAAATAAATTAATAATTTCTGCCATTGAATATACGTAAAGTTTTCGGTGCTTCTGGGGACCTTGCCAAAAAGAAAACATATCCCGCGTTGTTCGGCCTTTATCGAAACGGTTTTCTTCCCGAGGGAACACGCATTATTGGCTATGCCAGGACGAATATTGGAGAGCAAGAATTTCGTAACCGCATTTCTGGATATATAAAAGCACCCGTTGCAGAGATCAAGGAACAATTATCAAAGTTCCTGGAAATTTGTTCATATGTTTCTGGTCAATATGATAAAGACGAGTCATATCAGTACTTGAGTAAAGTTGTTGAGGAAATTGAGAATTTAGGGGGTCCAGAAAAAAAGCATCGAGTTTTTTACATGGCATTGCCTCCCAGCGTTTTCGTACCCGTGGCAAGAGGTATTAAAAATTATGTTTATTCTTCAAGGGGTGTCAATCAATTAATTGTCGAGAAACCCTTTGGCATGGACTTGGACAGTTCTCGTGAATTAGGCAAGGCGTTAGAGCCATTGTGGAAGGAAGAGGAGGTATTTATCACGTGTCGTCATTTTCTCCGTTACAATTTTCATTAGAAAAAAAAGTGGGTACATTCTGAATGTGCCGATGTGGTCATCAATTCATGACAGATCTATCGCATTGATCATTATCTTGGGAAAGAAATGGTCAAGAATTTGTTGATCATCCGTTTTGCCAATGTCTTTTTTGGTGCCATTTGGAATCGTCAGAGCATTTCTAATGTTCAGATCACGTTCAAAGAGACGATCGGTACGGAAGGACGCGGAGGATACTTTGATGAGTTTGGCATTATTCGCGATGTCATGCAAAATCGTAAGTACTTTCCGCGCCAATTCTTGAAGAAATCACGTGGAAAATTTTGAAATGTGTCTCATTCACTAGATCTCTTGCAAATTTTGAGTATTGTCGCCATGGAGCGACCGGTGTCCCTAAGTTCCGAGGACGTCCGTGACGAAAAGGTATTCTATTAGCCATAATTGAAATTGTTCACATCTCGTCTCGTCTCACCTTTACTCCTGTTTTAGGTTCGCGTTTTACGCTGTATTCAACCAGTGACGTTGCAAGATGTCCTTCTCGGACAATACACTAAGTCTGAAGATGAATCTGACCCTAAACCTGGATATTTGGATGATAACACCGTGCCTCCTGGTAGTAACTGCCCTACTTACGCGGCAGCCACCTTGTTCATCAATAATGAACGTTGGGAAGGTGTTCCTTTTATTCTCAAATGTGGCAAGGGTAGGTGTTATTCTATCTTTTTCCCTTCTTCCTTTTCCGGATTCATCCTCTAAATCCGTCCGTCTTACGCCAATAGCTCTCAACGAGCAAAAGACGGAAATCCGTGTGCAATTCCAAGATGTGCCTGGCAATGTGTTTAAAGACGCCCCTCGTAATGAGTTGGTCATTCGTGTGCAACCTGGCGAAGCTGTTTATATGAAAATGACCAATAAGCTACCAGGGCTTTCCATGGAGACGGTCATTTCGGAATTAGATCTCACGTATCACCGACGATTCTCGGATTTCAAAATTCCTGATGCGTATGAGGCCTTGATTCTCGATGTCCTGAAAGGCGATCACTCCAATTTCGTGCGAAATGATGAGTTGGATGCAGCATGGAAGATTTTCACGCCGGTCCTGCACCAAATTGACAACGAAAAGATAAAGCCTATACCTTACGCCTACGGAACACGCGGACCCCCGGGAATCGACGAATTTGTGACCAGGTATGGTTTCAAGAGGTCTATCCAGGAGTACAGGTGGGCAGGTGAGTATTAATGGAAAATTCTGTTTGTGCACCATATTTAGGGTTTTCGTTGAAAAACTTCTCTCCATTCTTTTCCTAAATTAGAAACCACTTCTCTAAAAGTCAACAAGCTTTAAAACAACTTCCTCGCATGATCAACTCTTCTCGTATATTGCTTGCAACAACTCGGCAAAATTTGTATCTAATGATTTGTAGAAATTTTGTATTTTTATCATGTTTTCACTGACGATATTCTAAATACATTATCGTCAATGCCGTCATGTATTTCGTGTACGATGTGTCCGTGCATTGCAGGTCTCACGTGATTTCAGCTTTTCTCGCACACAAATCATTGTCAATTATTTATTTTTTTTTGTGCCTGGTGCGCACATAAACTTGTACCTACTTTTTCAACAATTTACCATAACAGTTTTTTTCTTACTTTCTTGTAATTATGCGCAGACGCTTTTGTATACCTTTGCAATTATTTAACATTATAAACGGAAAAAAATAAAAAATAAAAATATGGAAACAGTATTTGGCGTGCACCATGATACAGCCAGTCTATTAGAGAAGGATCACAAAGTACGACAGAAGAAGGTTTTCGAAAACTCAGAAACAACAAATATTGCTGCTGCAAAAACTCCCAAAATGACCGTACAACAACCTTTGGATTTACCAAATCCTATTCAGTCTATTTTTAATTCGAGATTCTCGATTTCACCCGCAATTTCTCCCCACACAACCCCTCCGACCTCACGCCCTTCCACTCCATTGTTAGAGGTTGAAGAAACAGTCTGGTCACCTTACAAATCGGTATCAGGTAATAGGTCTACTTTGGTTCCTTCCGCGAGTGGGATTCTACACTCGGTAGATACGAAAGATCAGAAAGATATCCCCCAAAATAATGTAATGCATAATGACCCGTCGCGTGTTGAACAAATTTCCCCTCTTACCACTCCCCTCATTTCTCCCTTGGCAAGGACCGCGTATAATGACACTTCCTTTTTTCGTAATGTGAAAAAGGCGACGGGGATGGTCGAGAGTGAAGAACTCTATAACATTATAAAGCGTCCTTCTTCGCCATGGAATTCACATAAAGCTGGAGAAAATTTTGGTTCTGGTCTTGAGAAAAATTTGCCCAAGTAATTGAATAGTAGAGGATCGAAGCAAGGAAAGGTGAGTGAAAGGTGTTTGATTCTTTTAAGGGTGAATCCCTGAGCCTACAGTATAATCACATTCAAAAATTTTCGTTCGCTGTTAAAAGTTGAATTTGAAATTGAATAAATGTTACTTGATAAAGAAACAATTTTTCATAAGTAGATTTTATTTTATTATTTTTTTTTTTGATTTTAGTCCCATGGTACGCTAAAAAAAAAAAAAAAAGAGGGTTCAATTTATAAGATGCGGTCAATATATATAAACAAAAGTTTGAAAATATTACAATCGAAACGGGAACAAAAAAAGCAAAGAAATTAATTAGCTCTCAAAAGTGTTCATGAAGAAGGAGAAAGTATCATCGAAGTTAAGATGAGGCCATTAAAAAAGTCTTAATTTTCAAAAATATCTATGGTACCAGTCGATCGATTAGGATTTTAGAGAAAGCAACTTTGACTCGGTTGAATCATTTTTATTTGTATCACCCTTGGGATTCGCCTTTAACTCTTTTTTAACATCCGCTTGACCCGTGCATAATGCTAATTTGGTCTTCAGCTCTTCTACTTCTTTTTGTAAACGAGCGTATTCCTCAATTTGACTTGTCTTGGAGCTTAACTCTTCAACTTCCTTTTGGAGTCGAATATTTTCTTCTTCAAGACGTGTGACTTTTTCCTCAAGATCTGCGACATAAGCTTTCTTCTTACGGCGGCATTCTTTGGCGGCAACTCGGTTACGCAAGAGACGCCGTTGCCTTCGTTCGTCGTTCGAAAGATTACGAGAAGTGGAGCTACGCTTTCCAGTAGAATTGGCTTCTTGAATCTGACCTTGCGCCTGAGCTTGTACTTGAGCGGCTGTGGCATTATTCAAAAATTCTACCATGTTGGCGTTGGGCGTCATTCCTGAAATACCGGTTTGCTGACTGGAAGACAAAGGAGCAACCGCAATCGGTGAGCTCACCGAATTTGCTAAGGATGCAGCGGCGGACAAATTTTCTGCGAAATGGTGAGAATTATCAACTGCTTGAACTGTGGCTACTGTTGACAATAAAGTTACTGCGTTTGCCGCAATAAAGTTCGGGTCGGATCCTCTTAAGGTTGCTCCGTCGACTAATTTATCTACTGGTTTTTTTGACCCCTGAGTTGCTTTACGCTTTGCGTCGCCTTGCCCAACCATGTCACTTGGCGCAGTTCGTTTAAGTGATTTTTGGGGTTCGTCGGTTCTCGTCTGTTTTTTCTCTACTGTTTTATTTCTATTCGTGATGGCCGTTAACTTGTCGTCCGCAGAGATTTGTCCTTGTTGACTAGCTAACTGCACTTCTTGAGGCATGTCAGATGAGTAGTATACAAATAGTTATTTAACTAATTTTTCTAATGCAAGTCTTGTGGGTTAAGCGTGCCAGATGAGTTGGTTTGTTTTTTTAGTATATAAAGTGACGCTATTTCCTAGAAATCTTTTTAGCGGGAATTTTTTTTTTAAGTGTAACTTTATGATTTTGTAGATGTCGCGTGTCGTCGCTCTATATTATTTCAATATTTGACGACGTCGCTTTTTTGACGACGTTGCTTTTTTTATGACGAGAAAAGGTGACGGCAGCAAAAACTGAAGTGACGTTTCGCTACTGACAACAGGTATTACATATCATAGGAATCTTACCAATTTATATGATATTATCAGTTGTAATCGCTAACGTCAGCCACATGTAAGTCTCGGCTTAAAAAAAACGAGTTTGTTCTTAAGTCTGGCCAAAATTTTTTATTTGGGCAATATGTCGTGAGAGTTACATAATACATTAAGGCTTCTTGGTGGCAAAAATTTTTGCTTTTTAGCTTATTATGTATTACGCTAGTATCTGTTTTCACGTAACACTGGCCCCCGATCCTATGCATAAAATATATATGCGCTAATGGAGAACTGTAATTACCGGCTCAGTCTCTTCTTTTCTACACGTGTCACGAGTCGATATTAATAAAACTGGAGTGATTTAATTTAATCTTTCACGTATTATTTAAGACATAAGAACATGGTTCAAAAAATTTTTTTTTAGAGATTTAACTTTTTTTTAAATTATTTAAAAAATCTATTTATCCTTAATCAAATTCTTTTTTTTTTTTAAAATAATTAACTTGTTATTATACATAAATACTCTAAGTCAAATTTTGAAACCAATATTATATTTCTTTAATAAGATTGAATTAATTACTATTTATTAGAATCATTATCAACAGTTTTTCATTATTGATTGATCTGAAAATTAATAAATTGCTAAGTTAGGAAAAAAAAAGAATACAAATAAGAGAAAAGAACAATTCAAAATTCATTAAAAAAGTTTAAAAATAAAATCAATCTCTTTTTAAAGGAGATAGATCTATTTAATTGAAATAGTCTTCTTGTTTTATTTGAACTTCTGAAGAAATCTTTTTATTAATTTTTTTTAAACTTTATCAAAAATATTCTTTATTCCTATTATATTTGAGTTTTAAATAGTTCAGTTTCTTGAAAAATATATCTTATATATATTTTATTCTTTCTTATACTATATTTTATTAATAATTTTAATAATTTATTATTTGAAAACTTTATTCATTCTTGATTTAATTCTATTGTAATCTAAAATAGAATATTGTTTTATTATTTATTTTTTTTATAAATTGTTTTATATAACTGTTCAAGTTATATTCTATCATTTTACTTTTATAATAATATTATTAAACTTGAAATCTTTTTATTTAATTGTTAAAAAATTTGATATTTCTTTTATTAATTATTAAAAAAACCAATAAAAATATATAGAACAATTGTATCATGACTAAATTAAATTTTATATTGAGTTGTTTATTAATAGTTTTCAATTTTTCAAGAAGTTTTAGTTTTTAAATATAATAATAAAAACAATATTTCACTTTATAGTAAATTTTAAATAAATATCTTTCTAATTTAAACATTAATATTGATAATTTGTCACTATTTATAATATGTAATACTTACTTTTAAAAAATTTTTAATGATCAAATAAATGTTTTGGTTTAATCAAATTTATTACAATTTATATAAAATTTAATAATAATATAATTGAATAAATATTAAAGTTTCTTGATTTTTTTTCTTTTTTAGAAAAATATCAAATTCTAGTAAAGAAATATAATATAAATGATATTATATTTATGAAATATTAATAATGATAGGTTTTTAAAGTATTTAGCATATAAAATTTTACAAATTACTTGTGTTCCTTTTTGAGAAACAAAATTCATAGCTCTTTATTTTAATAGGAACAAAAGTCAGAAAATACTATAAATCAATGATTTGAATAATAGAGAATAAATATAAATAGTTTTTTTATAGTTATTGATTTAAAAATTTAATATTTCCTAGTGAGGAACATTTGACTTTTATCTCTGCCTCCTCCTTTAAGGACCCATTTTTAAATATTAATATACAAAATCAAAAGAAATATATATATGAATAAATATTAATCTCTCAACTATATACTATAACCTTGAGAAACTCAAAAAAATGATAATTGTTAACTATATATATCTTGAAAAATAATTAAAAATTTTTATAAAATCAATATCATAAATAATTAATTAATACATTTATCAAGATATTGCTATTTTAACAAAAATAATAATAAACAAATTATTAAAAAAAAGAATATCAAATGGTATTATATTTATAAAATATTAGTAATAATGATTTTTTAAAGTATTTAACATATAAAATTTCATAGATCACTTATATTCTTTTTTGAAAGACAAAATTTATAGCTCTTTATTTTAATAGGAACAAAAGTCAGAAAATACTATAAATCAATAATTTAAATAATAGAAAATAAATATAGATAGTTTTTTTATAATTATTAATTTAAAATATTTAATATTTCCTAGTGAGTGATATTTGACTTTTGTCTTTACCTTTCTCTTTAGAGATCCATCTTTAAATATTAGTATACAAAATTAAAAGAAATATACATATAAATAAATAATAATCTCTCAACTATATATTATAACCTTGAGAAACTCAAAAAAATGAGAATTGTGAATTATATACATCTCAAAAAATAGTTAAAAATTTTTATAAAATTGATATCATAAATAATTAATTAATATATTTATTAAAATATGTTATTTTAACAAGAATAATAATAAATAAATTATTAAAAAAAAGAATAATGATATTATATAAACCTATTAAAAGATATTTAGCAACTTTTAAATATAAAAAAGATTTTTTATTGATAATACTTATACTTATTAATAAGTATAAGAAAAAATATATATAATGGATTTTCAAATATACAGTATGAATAAAGTCTAGAACTGAATTATTTTTATTAATAAAATAGTTTTTTGTCTTTTAAAAATATAGTAAAATAATAATATAAAAATTTATAATTAATTTATGTTCTACCTAAAGAATAAAAAATTTTTATTTAATATAATTTTTATAAAGAAAGAAAATCAAATTTATTTTGATTTATAGACCTGTGGATCTTTAGTACAGTTATAGTACTCCCAGATTACAATCATAATGTTCAAAATTCAATACTATCTAGGGACCAAGTAAAAAAATATCATATACAATAAAACAATTCCATTGGATGATAAGTTAATACTTGTTATTGGGCATAGTCCTAACTATCTTATCAATACTTGAAATAAAAAAATCCACTATAGCATAGCATTACCTATAGCTGATCTCTACCAGATCAAGTCAGTCTATAGGTGTTGTAAATAATTAGTATCTTATAATTACTATGATAATGTGGAGAAGGATGGGACTGATCTTGTGATCAACTAGGATAGAAAATAGATTGGTAAAAATATTTCAACGATCTTATCAACTAATAAAGAAGTTGTCAAGTTAAGAAAACTGAAGTCTTAAAGAGAGTAAACATTGTATAAATGGGATACATAAAAGTATGGCCAAACTTGCCTATAACAAATCATTAGGAGATCTTAGTGTGAGAAGGAATCTGTGAACCACATCAAAGTTCCAAAAACAGGGATAGATTAGAGTATATGCAACAGTCAGATAATTAAATTACTCTATAAAATTGTTTTAGAAAAAATTAAGAGAGTGTTATGTAGTTTCTCTTAATAAGACTAGTTAATATATATAGTATATAATATATTTATCATGTATAAACCATCATATGTATAACATTATTTCATAATAAATAAAAACCACAAAAGAATGTTTCCAAAAGAAAAAGAATCAATAGTGAAGTGTATAAAGATTTTTTCCATCTTTAAAGTAAGAGATATATAGAGGTTTTTAATAACAGAAGGGTTTATTTTTCCCCTTCCAATCAATATTGGGCCTCTTAGAGCTATTGCTTTATGGTTTTTTGAAAAATTTTATCTACTCCAGTTTGATCCTGAATTTTGGATAGTACAAATCCTCACCAAAGGTGATTGGCTGACATAAAACATGTTGATTTCAGGAAAAGTAAATAAGCTCCTATTGATTATACTCACATATTCCTATTATATTATGGGTAATATAATAAAGAAAGTTCTAGAAGAAGTTCTTTTCCAACTGCATATATTTGATCCCAAAAAACAATTATGACATCAAAAGGTGGGATGAATTTATACAAAGAAATTTCATCCCTTCTCTAAGTTCCTCAAGTGATGAAAAGGTTTTCTAAGGTAAAAGCTAAGGTCTTTTAGTTTTTCTTGAACTATTCCAATCTGATGCATGCTTAAATGAAAACTCATTTGATATCACAAGTGGTAACAAAGAAGACTCCTTTTGAGATCCAAATAAAACAAAAAAGAATATCCAAATTAGGCAAGATTCCTTTTGAAAAAAGACTGTGAAATAGAAAAGCATCTTTTGAAGGGTTTGAATTGTTTTTTGTTTTTCCTCTTATTCAATTTAACTTCAGCAATTCATCGTTTTTTGGAATAATTGGCAGTGATAAACTATTGGTAATGATTCTGATTGACTTAGAGATACTATATCAAGCTACTAGAAGAGTGTAATATTGTTTTTCAAATCTGATTTAAAGTATCCAGTTGAGACTTAGTTTTGTTTAGTCTGAATTAGCTTAGTAAACTTTTCATATTTTTTAAGTAGTATAGTCCTTTAACTAATAATGTACAAAGATGAGTTAGTCATTATATTAAAAGGTCTGCAGATTATTTTGGTATTTTTTCAAGTATCTTAATAAAGACATGCTATTTTGATATAATTGCAGATTAAAAAAAAAAAAAAAAAAAAACAAATTTATTTTGTTTTATATAAATAATAAATAATAATTTTTATATAAAAATTTTTCACAATCACTTACTTGAGATTAGATAAAAACTTGAAAATTG